GCAGCGGATGGCCAACGTGGGGACAAGCTTCCGGTAAGCGGTGTGTCAGAGCCCGTGTCACCTGCGGGAAGACAGGGTGTGAGTAGCTCCCAGTCCAGAGGAACACTGACCTACAGAAACCTGTACTCAGCCCAGGATTTCCTTCCTCCTGATTTTGCTGTTCCCCTGTGGCATGCCCAAAACTAGGTGCCGGCTCAAGTGCGAGGAGGGACCCCTGACCTTCCACACCATAAGGGGCATTTCCTGCTGTACACTGCTGCAAAGTTGCAGGAAGTTCTAGCCAGTGTCAATGAACCTTCCTAGGCAGCTGTGGACCTGTGCACCATGCAGCCAGCAGATCTGGATTACTCCCGATTTTCTGACACTTTCAAACCCTGCCCGTGATAGCAACCCCCTCTACAGGGGGCATCAGTGCCATACCCACCCCCTGGGTACTACTGCTCTACCCCAGAAACCTATCACAAGCTTCTAGGCACACAAGGCTGTGCTTCAAAACAGTAGGGTTTAAGAATGATGAATAAAGGTAGGCCTTTAATCCCAGCACGCAGGAGGCAGAGGCAGGCAGATTTCTGAGTTCCAGACCTGCCTGGTCTACAAAGCTAGTTATAGGACAGCCAAAGCTACACAGGGAAACCCTGTCTCAAAAGGGGGTGGAGGGTGCTCAGAGATAGAAACAAGGAGCAGGAGGAAGAGCACTGGGGCCATGCAGGTTTCCTGTCCCTGATACATCATTTCAAAATTGGATTTTCTTAGGAAAGAGCCACTGTTTATATATACACCCATGTAAAGTGCTATCAGGCCTGGCCAGCAGTGCTGGCCAGAATCTCCAATTGTGAAGGAGTGTGCTTCATTTCATTTCCCACTAATAAAAAGCTTCTACAAATGTCTACCAGATGGAAAAAAAAATTCATTTTCATCTGAAATGAGCATGAGACCTGACCATAGGATACTTCTGTGTTGCCCAGGTTGGGCTCAAACCCTTAGTCCTCCTACCTATCCCTTGTAAATGCTGGGGTTACAGGCATACACCACCATGCCAGGCTTCAAATGTATCTGGCTACTACATATTAGAGAAGCAGACTCAAATGGGAATCCTCCATCTGTCTCCTAAGATATACACAGATGACTAAGACAGAGTCTACAGAGTGAAGAAAGCTGCTGAAAAGTCTGAAGAAGTGCAGGTCCAGGAGAGAGGCCTGAAGGCAATAGCTGGGAAGAAAGCAGTGTTAGAGGAAGAAGCCAGTTACATGTGTGTGGACTCAGGGGAAGTGGGTTGGAGCTGTTCCTCGGGGCCATCGGCCAGCAGGAAGGAATCCACTGATTTGTTGCTGAGGCGGAATGGTGTCAGACGGCGGAAGTTGCTGGGAGAGTTGGGAATCTGGACACGGGCCCTCTGGGAGGGCACCACGGTCTCCCCAGGGGACAGCCAAGGTGGCACCCTGGATAGGATGCTTGGATCCAGGTCCTCGTCAGGGGAGAACACAGGATTATCAATTCCTAAGAGAAAGGGCAAGTGGTCAACCTTGAAGAACTACCTCCAGGGGCAGTAGGAGGCTGGGCGGATAGGCTCAGTACTGGGTGACTATGTCAACTCTTCTTGTGGCTCCCACCTTCAGGGTAACCTGGGTGGTCAGACTTAGTCACTTAACCCCCATCCCATACTTTTTCTCTACATTTGAGACCGATACAGTCTAGACAAGTTGGGCAACATCTCTCCTCTCAGAGCTGGCCTATTCTTCCAGATAACTTGCCATCTGCTCTGGGGAGACATCTAGGTGAGGAGGTGACACCTTCTAGACCTAGTAAGCCTCCCAGGCGTTTGGTTTCTCCTTCAGTGACTCACTTGGGGCAGCAGGGACATCTCTCCCACTGGCCTCTCCTATCTCACCTGCCCCAGAGTCAGAGGTTACATCCTTGGTGACATTGGCCAGAAACTCGATGCCCCCACTGGTCTCTTCATAGTTGGTGGTCTCCTCAGGCTCTGAAAATTCCAAATCTGGATAGCAGAGGGAAAAAATACTTTGGGTAAGGATAACTCAAGTTTTTTATGGCTGGTGGTATCCCTCCCGCCACCACACACATACACACACACACACACACACACACACACACACACACACACACACACACACGTGGATTTTCACAGCACCTGACCAGCCCAGTGTCCAAGTAGCTGGGGTCAGCTGTGCAAAGGCCTGAGCCACTCCTATGGCACTTCCTTTTGTGACCCCAACCATACATGGCCTTTGGGAAGGTCTACTAGATAGGAGGGGCTAGGACCTCAAGGCCCTCAATGAAAAGGATGGAGAAAGGCCACGTTTAAAGAAGATTGTGTGTGTGTGTGTGTGTGTGTGTGTGTGTGTGTGTGTGTGTGTGTGCGTGCACAGGTGTGTTGAGTGTCCATGGAGGCCAAAAGAGGTTGTTAGATTCCCTGGAGTTGGAGTCACAGGTGGCTTAAGCTGCCTTATGTGGGTGCTAGGCCCTGAACTTGGGTCCTCTGGAAGAGCAGTGACCACTCTTAACCACTGAGCTGCCTCTCCATCTCACAGAGGGGTGCTTCTCTATGGTACAGCAACAGGAGGGCCAGAAGAGAGCACTAAGAGTGTCTGGCCTAGTCGCAACCCCCAGCAAGGGATGCGTGGGAGGCCCAGGGTCAGAACCCCTGGGTACAGACACTGGTAGAGGCTGGAGTCCCTCCTGAACGAAGCACACTCAAAGAATCAGGTCTTACCTTTCTCCTTGATGATGAAGTTGTGTGCCAGGTTCTCCATAGGCAGCTTCCCATTAGGAATGCTGCTGTTCCTCTGTGGACAAGTATGAGCTCTTACAGATGTACCGACAACCAGACCCCTACTTGCTGGGACTTTGTCTTCTGTCCTAGACCCCAAGGGTTTCTACTCTGCTGTTCACCTGGCCAGCAGGACCACAGAGAGTTCCCTGACCCCAGTATTCAGAAACCCACCCAACAACCACTGCCCCCACTGCCCCCATCATCCCTCACCCGCTTCTGTGCACGCTCCCTCTTGTACAGCTTGGCTCCCTTCTTGTTCTGGTTGATGCCTAGCTTAGCTGACTTAAAAGACTCCAGACGCTTCTTCATGGTCCTGTGGAAGATTTCCTTGTCCTGCTTTTCATCCTCGTTGGGTGTTAGCTCATGACGACTATAGAGATGCTTGTACTGTGGGAGCAACTGGCAGTCAGTTGGGCCTGTATGGCCCAGGTGGGTCACAAAATCTCCAGCTCAGCCCTGTAGACCCCTTGTCTGAGAAGGAGGCAGGCAGCTTTGCTCTAGCTGTGGGCTGGGTTCCACCAGCCACAGCACACGAAAGGATGACAAAGGCTTACCTTATGGGATAGGAGGAATCTGGGTGGTTCATCCCCTGGTACTTACCTCCTGCCGAGGCTTATACAGGTACTGCTGCAGTGTGTGGTGGGTAACCATGTCCTCAGTGTCACGGATGCTTCTCCGCCTCTGCTCCAAGGACTGCATATCCAGGCATACAGTACTGACATTCTCCCTCCTGCATGGACCAACATTGAACCCAGGGGAATAGCTACACAGAGGTCTCCTGCCATGCCTAGATACCTAGTAGTCCTTTCCCACACTGCTCAGATGGTCTCCCAGAATGCCCTCTAGACTTCTGTTAGGTTGAACCCCATCACCACCAATTCCCCTCCACAGCCCAAATATGAGTCCTGAGGCCCACAGCCTCTCCTAAGCACTAGAAAGTTAGAACAGCCACCATCATAAGAACTGGCCATTAGTTCCCAGGGGCAAAGGGCATAAAATGCTGGACCAGATCAGGCATCTGCTGATATCCCTTCTTGCCCTTCTCCTCTCTAATATAAGCATACCACAAACACAGTCCTGCTGAGTGCTGAATAAAGGTTTGCTCCCACAGATGGGATGCAGGCATCTTTCTGTACCTGTCTCCTACCCTGGTCCACTCACACTGTCCTGACTCAGTTGCCTTAGGACCTGCAGAAGGAGCTAGTAGGCTTAAGAGTCATGAGAGATGCTTTTAAGGAGTACCCTTTCCCAGAGAAGTTTATAAACTGGTCACGTACAAGAGATAGGAGACAGATGCCTCCACGGTAGATGGGCGGGGTGTGCTGAAGTCCACATTGACCATATTGTCCGTACTTGGGGAGCGAATGAAGGCCAGGGACCCACGGCGCTCTCCCTACAAGGAGTACATAGACTCATTAGTACTCAGGTGTGACCCTTAGGCAGCACCTGCCACATAGAAGTCAAAAGATCCTGTGACCAAGCTTAAGGGCCTGTGGGCTCTGGGAGGCAGAGATGGACCCTGTCCACTGTCAAGGGACACCTCACAGCTCAGCAAGGGCCAAGATGCAGAGTAGGAGCTAGGATTAGGTTCATGTGGAGGTCATCAGAGCATCACTTTCGAGGAGCAGAGCCTTAGAGTTGAGCAGACAAAATAGTAGGTAGAAACAGAATCTCTTAAAGGACACTGACAAGTCTAGGGTGTACCACCCCCACTTGAAGGTTGGGGAGAGATAGTTTTTGTCCCCACCAGAGCCACCAACCCACAGGCCTTAGTTTGGATGCAAGTCAAAACCACCCAGAACAGAGCTGGATAGGAAGCAGAATTACTGGAGGATAGAGAAGCTGAATCCGCAAAGTGAGCTGCTTCTGAGGATCACAGACAACAGTACACTATGGCCTCAGGTAGAGTCCCTAGGGGACAGCTTGTGCCAGGGTTAGAAGGGTGTTGGCCTGTTAGGTGTGTTCCACCCTTAACCATGTCAACACATCATTGCACTTTACAGTTTGTGAGGTTCTCCCTTGGGAGCCCTTCGAAGAGGGTGGGATTGTGTGGATATTCTGGTGACAGGAAACACTTGGGACTTGGCTTAGACTGCCTACTCCTGGGTATTTGGAGTATCCAAATTTTTGGTATCAGGAAAGAAGTCAGGTGACCCTTAGGGCAGAGACTTAGGGCTGAAATGGTGATGGGGTTCCTGGACAAATGGTCAAGGTATGGAGACAAGAATCACAGGACTGATATAGACAAACCACCCATGTAGGACTTGGAGCCATCTCTCCTAACAGTGATGGGAATGATGACACAAAGCTCAAGACATTCTGGCTGGTGCAAGTGGGGAACAGGAGTGAGGCTCAGGGCCCTGACTAGTGTGGAGTCAGAGCTAAAGAACCTCTCAAAGACAGAGAAAGTGACAAGTGAATGCTACCAGAGACCTCAGCACACCCTTTCATTCTTATCCTCCATCCATGTCATGGTGCCAAGGTCACACAGGGTCATAAAAGGTTGGAATTCTTTGTAAGTTCTGACTAAGACTGGAGGCATCTCGGATTGAACACCACAATATTACTTGGGTGGCAATGGCCATGGGGTCATATGGTGCCTTGTTTGACCTATGTCTATCGATGAAGGATGCCATGAGGCCCAGAAGTGGGGTGGGTAGGTCATGAATGCACTAACCACAAGATAGTCATATGTATGTCATTGGAGGAGTTAATGTGACTTCCCAATATATGTCTGTGTTGTATCTATACATATGTTCCTAAGTACATATGTATGTATGTATGTGTGTATGTATGTATGAGTGCACATGTACCCGAGTATGTGTATGTTCATATATGTTTATGTGAGCATTCCTATAGATTTGGGTGTGTATATATCAGCCATGTGTATGCACATGCATGTGTATGCTCCTTAAGGTTGTCAGCCAGTAGGAAGTATCTACCAACTTGTTGCTGAGTACAGCATACATGTGTGAATGGGTAGAGGACCTGGGCTCATTACTGTCTATTTCCCAACCTTTTCCATTCTTTTTAGGGAAAATCCAGGCATTCACATTCCTCCAGAGCCTGGTCACCATTCTCAGTTCCACCAAAACCACAGTATCTAGTCACTGTGCCTGTGCCTCTGATTCTTGAGTGACAGGGCACTCTGACATGCCCTGTTCCCTGAGTACAACTCCAAGCCTCACATGAGCTTTTGCAGTGAGCCATCCAGGCACAGAGCACAAGGGTCACTCACCACTGCCCTCTGCCCATGCCTTAGACTACATGTATGTCTTGCTCTCAACTTTAGCAAAGAGACAAATGTGATATTTTAGTACCTCAGCCACATAGCTAATAGCATCCTTCAAATTCAGCTCATGGAAAACGTTCAGAATCCGATCTCGAGATTTTTGAGCAGATCTTCTCATGAGGACTTTGCTGAGGAACTTCCTATCAAAATTGGACCACCTGGGGGAAAAAGATTGCATCAGAAATGGGAGTCTGGGGCTGCTTACCCCACATGGACAAGAACAAGGTCAGAACAGACAAATGTCTGCAGAGCTAGGCCCAACATGGGCCATTCTTTTTTCTCCTGGGTTTTATTTATTGTAACAACCTGAAAGTTTTAAAGTGAAAGGTTGTCAGGCCACCTCAGGTCTCACTCTTTGCTTTCTTCTATTTGACAGTGGCTGGCAGTGGAACTAAATGCCATTTTCAAGTGACACAATGATCAAGTTTCCAAGTGGCCACCTGACCCTCCAGGTACTGTGAGGACAGGACCAAGATTAAGACAACAGCAGCCATAATTCCAACTCCTGACACATCGCTGTCTAGGGTACATTACTCAACTCTGCAGCTCACATGGACTCTAGGTAATTATCTCAAAACAGGTATTAACAAGTGTCAATTAAATGCTTTAGTCATATAGTTTTAAGTACCACTTTATGTTGTAGTAAAATATAAATGAGTGATTTATATTTCATAAACAAGGTAATTTTAAGTATCAATAAACACACCTTTCCTCTGTGAATGAAATAGGGAAGTGATTTATTTCCCTGATTTTTAATACCTACATTATTTAAGTTTAGCATTAATTGGTCAGTAAAAGAGTATCTCTATGCCTGGAAAGATCATCAGGAATAAGATTCAGGTCCCTAAATTGGTGGCTGCTCTGTCCTCTCAGATAGTATTAACTTTGTTTTCACCTGCTCTCACCCACTAGTCTAGTGCACACTTAAGCCCTTAACCTGGGAATGGGGACCTGAGAAGGTGTCCATACGTTGTTCTCTGTCATTCTTCTCCCCAACATAAACACTTCAGGACCAGCCTACGACCCAGATAGTTTGTCTCTGGCTCTTTTGAATGGAGAGGTCCTCCAGAAATGGTGTTTTGTGGCTCTTGACTTGTGGCTTCCAGTGTTTTTAGTGGCCCTGTCTGCACGTGTGGGACCCAGCGTTCTATGTTTGAGGGGTCACTGGTAAAAGAAGGAATGTTACAGCTTAGGCTACTTACTTATCTCTGAGATAATTGTGTCCAATTTGTCCTGAGATGTCCTCAATGGCTGAGAGGATGTGGTCGAAAGCCTTTCAGAGGAAAGAAACCCAGTTGGCCTCCATCCTCACCCCAGCCTGCCCAGGCTGTGCATGTCCACTCTCTCCTTACCCGGCCGTGGAGCTTCTCATTGAGCTTCGGCTCACGCTGCTCACTCCTCTTCACCTTCAGCCACTGCACCAGGGGCTTGATGGTCAGGCCCTGAAAGACAACCTCACTGATTCTGGTGCCAGGCAGGATCACCGTACCCCTTCCCAGGGCCCTCTAAACCCAAACCAGACAGACATTAGATCTCTTCTCCCACTGTAGACAGCACAGGGACCTGTGTGAATCCATTGGCACTGCTCTATAAAAAGATGCCCCAAAGCACCCATGCTGTGGGCGTCCGTATGGACATCAGAACCTCCAGCTGTCACTTTGACCAGCCAGATGCAAAGGTGTAGTAGGTGCCTGTTAGGGCCTGACCAATCAGCAGTCAGGAAGTAACTAGGTCTGTTCTCATAAGTCCTGGCCAGAAAGTAATACTTTTAGGACAAATTATGCTATGTCCCCTGTGGGGCCACATGAAAACCTACAAAATGCTCCTAATTACTAAAATTACAAAAACCAATTAAAGTATGGAATCTGGAAACAATCAGCCTACAGGGTTGAGGTAGGGCCAGTTGCTTAGGGTCAAGGCTTGGACACCCTGTGGCAATGCCCTGGGCAGATTGAGCCACACCTGAAAGATGACTGTGAAGAAGACCACGATGAGAGTGGTGCTGACAAACAGATTTTTCTCCTTGACTTTCTTCTCATCCAGAAGTACCACCAAGGCATAGGCCACGGCCCCACGCAGGCCACCATAGGACATGACCACCTGGTCAATGGTCTCCAGCTGCACCATGCGGTAACGATTCAGGATCCAGGTCTGCAGAACAACACCTGTAGCGAGAGGTCACTCAGCTCCATGGCTGCTTTCCCCAGGGCCACACGTCAGGGTTCCCTAAAGCCTTTCGACCCTCTGTCCCTTGGCTGACTGAAGGCCTGGGCAGTGGGTCTCTCCCCAGGGGCACTACTGGCCAGGCCCTCCGTAGGATGGGGCAACAGTGCTGCTCTCACCTCAGCTTCGACCTCCCACTCCTTGATCCTGTGCCTTGTACCTCATTCGTCCCCATGCTGCACCCTAAGAAATCTTGGCCTTTACAGTGGTTGGACTTGTTACTGAGCTGCCCTGGGGCCCTCAAATCTGTTATCTAAGGGAGCCTAGACACTACCACGAGTGCCCCTACCCCTCACCAATGGCTCGATATACAGAAATGAAGAGCAGCGTCAGCAACACAAAAGCCGTGTTCCATGTCCAAATAAGGGGGTCCACAGCTGAGATGCCCAGGAACATGAAGATAATGGTCTCTGCTCCACTGGCCAGCATCTTCATGGTGTAGCGCACAGTGGTGGCCGACTGCTCTGAGATGTTGGCCTTCACGTACTTCTGACAGCAGATGCCGCAAAAGGTGATGCTGGAGGAGGGGCAGTGTGAGGTTTTCCTGCCTCTATTCAGGCAGGCTGATGCCTCAGACTAGATGTTTCCAGGCCCAGATCCTGCCATCCCTACTTCCTCTGGTGGCATTACAGGCCTTTGCATCCCAGAAGATGTAATCAATCTATAACAGACAGTCCTTTGTTGTGTGAACCCTGTTCTTCCTGAGATCAATGCCCTGAGCTGGGTCTACCCAGCTGCTCTCATGCTCTAAGACTAGATGTGGAGTTTCAATGAAGAAACAGCCTTCAAGCCTTGTGGGCCTGTTGGTAGCTGATTGGTAACCAGGTCATATTAGCCTTTGGAGAAGCTTGGGGCCAACTTTGGGGTCAGGAGGCTTCTGCCTGAGTGTGAGGCTGCATGCCAGCAGAGGCTCTGATGGGGTTTCTGGGCAGATCATTCTTGAATCACAAGCCACAGCACACACCTACCCCATCCTCTCAGTAGGCACCTGTCTAGCCAAAGACAATTCTGAGGACTTATTAGACTTATTTAAAAAAAAAAATTAGAGCCGGGTGGTAGTGGCACATGCCTTTAATCCTAGCACTCAGGAGGCAGAGGCTAGCCTTAAACTACAGAACTAGTTCCAGGACAGCCAAAGCTATACAAAGAAACCCTGTCTCAAAAGAACAAAATAAAAATAAATAAATAAATAAATAAATAAATAAATAAATAAATAAATAAATAAATAAATTGACTTCTTTGCCCCTGCCAGTGACTTTTACCCAACTATGAAAGCCATGGAAGTGGAAGCTACACAATGAACTTGAAATTCATGTTCCAAGGAGGAGACAGTAGGCAGGGACCAGGCTCACTCCCACCACCCCTTCACCAGGATGGCAAGGAACCCAATATACCCTTTGCTCACAGTGGCACCTTCTGCCAGGGTTTGAGTGCAGGGGATCTCTGGCACACCACCAGCTAGAAAGCCACATACCCAGCCCAGCCAACAGTGAAGGTTATTCCTTGAGGGAGACTTACGCCAGGATGGCTGACAAGGACAGCATCTCGGAGGTCAGATAGGACAGGTAGGAAATGACAAAGACGAAGCCAGGCTCGATGATACGCACATGCTTGGTGAAGCGAGTCACCAAGGACAGCAGGAAGGCGAAGATAACACCCACCAGAGTCCCCCCTAGGCTCACCACGAAGAAGGACACTGTGAGAGAAAGGAATGAATGGTCCTTTGTGGCTGGTGACCTGAGTGAAGCTTACCAGGTTGGCTGGTCATTCCTCATGGAGGGCTCCTGGTAACTGCTCACAGCAATGCTGAAAGTTTAGGAAATGAGGCAACTTTGCTCTCTATGGAGAGAGTGTCTGGTCTCCAAGTTTAGTGCAGGAGGCAGAGGACAGAGGCATGACACACAGGAGACAGGATCCCATGGTAGGGGGCATTGCCTTGACATCTCTGCAGGTTTGGGTCAGTAACAAGGTCTGAACCCTGTGTCCTTGTACACTGTCCATCTGTCCTTGCCTAGGGAGACCTGGGTTGACTGTCCATATCCCTTCTCAGGAGAACACACAGGATCCCCCAGGACTTTCAGTAGTCTTTATGTGGTATTCTGGGTAAGGAACCCACCCACCCTGGTAAGTAACCAGAACACAGGCTAGAAACCCCAGGATAGCAGAAGCCTTGGGGATTCTATTCTGGAGAGGAAACAAGCCTCTGTACTCTTTGACCACTAGATTTGAGACAGGCCAGGCAGGAACCCTCCCAATACATACCTATGCCTTTCACACAATCCACGCCAGTCACCTTGTCACCACCCAGCGTCACAAAAGACTCAAAAACATTGTACAAGACCTAAGGGTACAGAAGACAAGAACACATCTGGTCAGCCCTGCATCCACACTGATCCCTCCCTATCCAATGCCCCCTCTTTTCTGTATTTGGGCTCTAGAGTTGACACCTGAAATAGCTAAAAACACTTGTAAAGCCAGCACAAAGTGACAATGTTCAACAAGAAAGGATCAGAGGATCCAGTAAGTGGGATGTACAGACAGGTGAGTGTCCCAGCAGATGAGGGCAGGAGTAATTCTTGGTCCACAGGAGGCAATGAGGCCACTGTGGCTCAGGAAGGCTGAGAGCTATTTTCTGAGTTTCAGACTAGGTCTCAAATAGGCCACCAGAACCTCCTGCACACCCAGAAATCTGATACAATGCACCCTGAAGTTCTCCTACACTCCAAGGGAGCATAAGACATGGGAAATTTCTTAGGAACTACAGGCAATTTCAGAGGGCAGAAGAAACCAAACACACTTCCTCGGGTGTCAGCTAAGTGCTTGGGCCCATTCTTACCAGTTAATCCCTCATTCCCTCCCACAGACCTGTAGTCCATCTGGGGACAGGTAGGGCTGCACTGAAGCAGCAGCAGAGGTCATGTTTCATGAACATGCTTCTCGTTGCCAGCATATACACAACCTCATCTTTGTGGAGACCTTATGCTTACTCCACTGCATGGGTCTGAGAAGCCCCAGATGCCATCAGGGGAATCTTGACTCACTGGAGGAGCTGAATGTGTTTCCTCTTTGAGTCCTGACCACAAGACCTCAGAATGCAGCTGTTTGATAGGAAGTCTTCAAAGAGGAAGCTAAGGTTAAATGAGATCAATAGAGTAGATCTTGGTGTAAAAGAAGAATACAGAACACACACACACACACACAGAGAGAGAGAGAGAGAGAGAGAGAGAGAGAGAGAGAGAGAAGATGACACAGAGAAGATAGCATCTGTAGGCCAAGGAAAGAGGCTTCCAGAGCCAGCTGCCATGCTTGGTTCTCAGCCTCCAGCCTTCAGCATGGAGACAATAAATTCTCATTGTTTAAGCCCCAGGCTTTTCTGGTATTTTGTTATGGTGGGCCCAACAGATTAATGGAATTCCTGTAAGATTTTGTTGTTTGTTTATTCATCTGTTTCTTAGGAAATAGTGTGTAGTAGCAAGTTTGGGTCCAATGTTATAGAT